CGGAGTGCGTGTCTAACACCACGCACCTTCACTCAGAAAAATTTTTGTCGCCCCTCGCCCGGTCCGAAATCTTGCCGCCACTGCTGTACGCTAAACTTTTACACCTACAAAAGGCCATACTGCAACCGCCTTCCCCCCCCCCCCCCCCGCCCACTAACCAGGTGAATACTCCTACACAAAGAACATGGCCCTCAATGCACAGATTGCTGAAAGCCGTTCCTCAACACTCAGAGAGAACTCAGCATTTACAGCACCCTCAGAACTCACTACGCCAGTTTATGAATTTTTCGTTATCGTGCTCAAAACGCGAACGCACATTGTTGTGATTATGAAAAAGATGTCAGGCGCTGACGGCTAATTTTTTCCGAAAAAAGCCGATTTTTTCGATAAGGGATTAACAGTTTGGAAGCAAGGCGGCAGAGGGCGTGCACAACAGTGATACGAGCGTTACCTCCGTGTTTTGAAACTTTCTCCTGCTCCTGTATGAATGGGAACTTTTGTCGAAATTCACCGAATAGTACTGAATTTCAGGAACAAATATATTGTGTCAAGAAGTTTTTTCCCTACGAAACATCTGAAAGTAAGGTTCACAGCAGAGGAGTGCGAAAATTTGATTCACACAGAGAATGTACTTTGTACTTTGGTATGAAGCTGCTACGGATTACATCTTCAAGGGCATCTTTTGGTATCCAAGACGGGATGATAAAACCTTAGCTGTCAGTATGACTATCTTTCTTAGGCGTTTTCTAAGAAGAAAATATTTTTGATCGCTCTCTGAAATGGAGTTCCTGGTCAGCACATTTGGTTACGTTATGATTTTGAAGAAAGCCCACAATTGAGACAAAAGCGGCTATATGCATGACGTGCGATCTCCAGATGACCATTCCTTGGGCGTAGTGAACTCTTATTCTTATTACCATAAGTGACTATTACATAAGAAACATAACGAACAGCCGACTTGATCATTGATTCCATTAGAAATGAATCAATATTATGATAAAAAATTTACTTACAAAAATACACAAATATGTCTCAATCAATACTCAAAAGATTTCTATTCACGGCAGCTATTCAGACTATTATATTATTTATCTATACACAATATACGATAAGATCATCAATATGTAAGTTAAATTTGATCGTTTAAGTTTGACATTTAGCAAAAATTTTGATATATGTAATAGAACAGGTTCACGGGCTCTCCTTCCTTACTGAGGAGTTCCGGGGAGAGCCCGGAGTTCCTGTACTCCGTCTAAGGGCAGGAACGAAACGGAGTTAAAACTTACATACAAAATTTACATATAAAATGGTTTCTAGTTTATAAGTAACACACTTTGTGTATAACCATCTCTATTTTTATCACTACTACTACTACTACTACTACTACTACTACTACTACTACTACTACTACTACGTATTAGTATAATCGGTTAGCAAAAATTTGAGCCCAAGAACTAGGCAAAAAAGCTGGTTTTATGAGTTTCATGATAAATAAATTTTCACATATCTACACACGACACACATAGCTTAAAGGCAGTGGCTCGGCAAATCTCAACCTAGTCAAGTTTTCACTTACCTGGGGTTATTCAATACGCCGATTCCGAAAATCCACTTTTGAGAGCTTGAAAACGCCGAAAACAAGGGGTTTTCAATGCCCTTCCCTTTGGAATTGGACGAGTGCAGCAGGGCTGATGACGCCGAATCGTTGCAGGACCCAATGGTTGTAGCGCTGCGGCGGGTAGCCTCCTCTGGTGAGAAGAAAATTGCCAACTCGTCCTGATGCGTGTAAGTATGGCTTGCGCGTGTAAGTTTGAGAGCAATTTTCTCGGCAAGGAGGGCATGCTGCGCAACCGGGATTCCACTGTTTTCGTACTTGGGCAATAAGGAGTCTATTGCGTTGAAATATTGAGTTGTTGAGTCTTGCCGACCTGCTGCCTTCAAGCGCGCTACAGTAAAGAAGAAACATTTTGTCGCCCTTAGTAACTCATTTAGCGATGAAAACCCGTTGTTTTTGCCACGTCAAATTCAGCTAATTTCGATTTTCATTGTCTTTGAAATCACGCGAAATAGGAAGCAATAAGTTTTTCGTTTCTCAGTAATTTAGAGAATGATTCTTTCATGTGATCGAATTCATATTTAGTCATCTGAATTTTATGAAATAAGCAATGTGGGTAAATTTAACGCGGTTTGTTATCCACCATCGGATAGCTGCCTTATTCGCCCCTCTCGAAGCTTAGCGGATCAATCGCTACAACTTCCACTTTTATAAGCGCGCAGGTCTATAGCAGTATCTTCAAAATTCTATAATCCGGGCGACATGCTTATATACGTTATAGAAACGGAGTTGATGATAATCTCTGTAACCTCAAAAATCAGTTTTTTTAGCATTTGTGCAGTCGCGCATGTTTTTTTTACAGAAGTGACGCTTTCTTAATATTTTTCGCGGAAACTCCCGAAACAAGTGGGGCGAGGTTCAACTAAATGTTCAGAGTGTATTATTTTGCATCTGGACTAAAAATTCTGAAGTTGACGTTCTGAAATTTAGCTGGTGAACGCGGTAAAAGCACGGAGTGTTCTGAAATTACAGCGACACGCTACACTCCTCTAGGAGTATAGCAGCCCTTTAATCAATGATCATATAAATATAAAATCGCGACCTTTGTCGGCTTTGTAGGGCTTTGAAAAACACATGTTCTCTCCGTTTTCGCGCTTTATAATGTGAATTTTTGGATTCAGCGTTGCGGATAACCTTAAGTAAATGAATTTTCTAGAAACGACTTTCTGCCCGGACACTGCCTCTAATGATGCACACTACTTGTTGCTCTACGCTATTGCGACTTGAAATGTCTTTTTTGTGAGACATCGAACGTTGCAGCTTTAGTCTCCCAACCAGGGCTCGGCACGAGCTGGCACCAGGGAAATTTCAAAACGAAGTCCCGTTTGATATTGAAAATTTCGTACGAATCCCTTTTGACCTGTTTTGAAAACCCGTCATCAATTTTATATTACGTAAAAAAATGGAGTAGTGTTTTCGTGCATTTCTGATTTCATGAAAAACTTTTCACAGCTTTCTGAGCTTTTTAAGTGGTCGAATCACATCTTGAGAAGCAGAAAAAAAACGATTTTTCGACTGCGGAACGGACCGAGTGGTTTTCAAATTGCTATAAAACGCTGAAAAGAGAACATTATGAAACTGTTTCTTTTCCGTATGTAATCTTTTACAGTGTAGATACATTTTATGTAAAAAAGTAAGAAAACTTATGTGAGCAAAGTGTCGGTGCCAGCTCAGCTGGCACCCAGCTGGCACGGTGCCAGCTAATTCAGAAAGAAGTTCGGCACAGCTTTCATTCACATAAGTTTTCATAAGTTTTTGGCCCGTAGTTCCGGTGCACCAACGCGCATGCACACACCAAATTTGGTGTCATACTATTGCGTTTTGGCTGAAAACAACGCCTTTGTTTGTTGATGGTCAGCTTGCCAATGGCATGCCGGTGGCATGCCGGCGGCATTTTTGCGGCAGTTCTCTGCCTCCGTCCCTGTAGAAACGATATCCCCTTTGCTTTCCGCCCTAAAAACGATATCCAGCTTGACCCTTTGCTTTCCGCCCTAAAAACGATATCCAGCTTGACCCGGTGCCAACTGTGCTGAGCCCTGCTCCCAACGCTGCCTTGAATAAGAAAACTGACCTCACTCACTAAAGCCGTTAATGATCTTCCATTCGGTATCCGCCCACCCGGAGCTGGTGCAGGAGGAATCAAAGGGCTGCCGCCTGTATCCGCAGGAGATGATCAAGAGCATGACCGCTGTGGAGGATATTATGACAAGGGTCCAAAAAATCTTGACAAGGACATCCTTTAGAAACAAATCTTCATAGCTTTGCCTGGAGATAACTTTGCAAAATTTTAAAAACGGATTTGTAGTGCGACTTGGAAGGCGCATTTACTGGTCTTAAAAGTAAGCGGAAGTTGGTAAGTGGGAAGTGAGTGGAAGTAAGTGGAGTTGTCTATCTTTCCGGTAGACGTAATATTAAAAATGCGCATTTCAATATTGACTCCGAATTTGTCCTTCGCATCTTTAAAAACTCATTCCAAGAAGATTTATAAGGGTTTGTTTCTAATAGATGTCCTCTCTAAGTTTTCCTGATCCTCGCCAAAATCTTCTCCACAGCGCTCACGCTCCTAGTTATTTCCTACGGCTACAGGCGGCAGGCCTTTGGTCCCTCCACTGCATCCGCGCCCACCCTTTGCAATCACCACCAATCGCGCCGGAGCATTCGTCCAATTAACGCAAAATCTTCTCAAAAGAAGGACTTGAAATTGACTTTTTGAGTGCCATTTTTGTAATCAACGCCCTAAAATGGTTTGGATGGGACAAAGAACGCTGCCTTTCAGGCCAGTCTCTTATCAAGAATTCGTTCGCGACATTCGCAAACCACGACCTTCTGTCCCTGTCCTACGTCTCAAGTTTGCTTAGAATTCCTGAAAGCCTTATTGTTTGTGTACCGTAATTGCATTAAAGACGAGTAACAGGGTCAAACACTTTGCAGATGAAAGCGTTTTTCAAGACGCGTTAGAAGGCTGCCCACCACGAGCTATTTTAAGTGCAGTTTTTCTCAACGTAAGGAAAGCCTACTAAATATTCATTCTATTTGCAAGCTCGATTTGGATCCGCTTATCTCGGCATTGTCTTAAGGGGATGCCGATCTCCCAAGAAAACCCGCCATCGGAGGCATCGTACTTTACTACCAGTGCTGATTTCCAAACATCATATGACTAAGTTGTAGTGGAAACAGAACGTTTTGAGAAGAGGCGAGTAGACGCGTACTTGGTGTGGGAAACAAGTGCAGACTTTGATGCTTGAAAAACTTTCTTTTCCCTCCCCCATCACTTCATTTCTCATTTTATTTACTTCTGAGTGCTATAATGAATGCTGTTCCCTCTCTCCTTAACTTATGTTGGCTAACGTATGAGGCTCTCTCATGAGAATCGAGAATACAACTTTCAGCAACTCACTTCTGCCTTTTTATTCTGAAGCGATTCTTCGTTATGTGAGCTTTCCTGTGAATTCCTCCAGTATTCTATGACGCTTCCAATGACAGTCTGCGGACTTCCATTTACTCTAAAGAACATTGATGTGAGACTAAACTACAAGAAGCCGCAGTACATACCTGTAGATACCAGAAACTCGCACCATTTTCGGTGGAACCACTAAGCAGTTCTCAGAATCACGACAATCGAGATATGCACGGGCCCCATCTGCCAAATTGGGATTGTACTAAAATCACACTCTGAGTTGCGCAAGATCAAAGCGAGCAACTTGTAGGTCGTCTCAAAAGTAATTCCGCTTTTTTCGAAAGCGCCATGCATTTGATACAACTTCTCATCTTCTTTTGGACGGCTTTGACTTGCAGTTCGACACAGTAGCTCTAGAGAATCACCATAACCTTCAACTCTCGTTTTTTGCCTTGGTCGAAGTTCGCCATTTTTCTGAATTTCTCATCGACTTCCTGAGAGAGTCCAAGTTACCGATGATACAGCTGAATTCCACAGGATGCAAAAAATTATTCGCGTCTCCCTCCCCCAGTGACACACCAAAAATTTTTTTGATAGAAATTTATTTGATGCCATCAAATGGCATACTTGGTAAACTCAAACTTCATAGAACATCAAATGGCGAGGAAATCAGATACCATTCCATGCAGTATTTTCTTCTCTTCAGAATGAGAGTTTTTTGCTTCCTATTAGTAAACTATTCGGGGATTGTTTCATCATTATTGATGTTCACAAACGCTTCCAATGAAAGGAAAAATTCAGTTGATACAAATTTGTAAACGCTCATGTGCTTTGTAAGAGTGACGTATATTCACTATCCATTTATGAGATCGCGAATTTATATTATATGTTGGTGTTGCTAAAATCAAGAGATCATGGCGAGTATATGAAAAGGAGATACATTGTTTTGCATCCTGTAGGGTTTGCTGTATCCGTCAGTTACTTGGACATCTTTGAGGGTTAATATGAAAAATCAGAAAAATGGTGAAATTTGAACATGGCAAATCTGGATCGTATTTTTTGGATCATGTGGAAAACAATTTAAAAAGGATGAAAAGCTGCAAAAGCTGCAGCGTGCCTGAAATTATTTCAAGATCTGCGTTCTGCATAATGTTACGCTTGTTTAAAGAAGCGAGAGCACTTCCAGAAAGACCTATTATTCATGGGGCGCATTTTACAAGTCATTTCAGACTGCTCGTCATGTTGTTTCGTACTTGACAAACTTTCTTTGGATACCTTCTATAGCTAATCGACCTTAGGAAAATGAGCTAACCGTGTAGCTGTCACTTTTTCCAACTTCCCTCTGCAAGAAGTCCATCAAGTGGTAATTTTTGGCATCACTTTCACGGAGTGCTTCAGCACTACTGCCACCGTCTTCACAGCGTGCCACGATCAACATGGTCTGCAGTAATTTTTTCAAAGTAATGAGGAAGACTCGATTTGAACTTAACATACCGTCAGAACAGCAAAACCCTTGAACATTTCGTTGAATGCTCTGTACTCAAGGCGGATGTTTTTATACTGATGTCCGTGACCATTTAATGTATCATATTCAAGTGCATCGGTCCTTGCTCAATGCCTTCACATCTATTATTAGCTCGTTTGCAATCACAAGAACTATAGTGCAAATTCATTATGAATTTCACGAATCTGTTTTTTAATCGCAATGATCTTGGTGCACTGATCTCCATTTAGTGGACTGAACCACGTGAATTAATTATGAACTAATTCAACAAATTACACAAATTTTTTTAACAAGAGAATTTACAGTGCAGTGGCATGGTTCTTGCTATAACGCTTTCACTTACCAATATAATATACTCATGCGCAAATGAAAAAGCAGCAGGCAAAGGATCAAGGCTAAGATGTTGCACTCAAGAAATCTGATAAAACCTTCTTGTAGGAATTCTGCTGCCCCGCAAGTTTATTTTTTAGGATTTATCATCAGACATTACTTATCGATATTTATCCTTAATACGGGTGAGAAGCAGCAACTTGCACTGATGTCACTAACTAGTAAAATCCTTTTCAATATCAATAATTATGTTATCATGAGTGTCTAACACGTCAGTACTTAGTCGCACTGGTGTTCTGAAGGGAAATGAAGGTTATTGAGGTTCTCTGGAGATATGTGAGGTACCTGGTTCGAATCTTATAGGTAAGCATAGCTTTTACGTTCTAACGGCTTTTTGACTTTCACCTAAAAACCTCTTAATTAGCTTCGATCAGTTATTTTCTGTTATGCCTGCTCTTTCAAACACATTGTGCATTGTAGTAATGGAAGCAGGCGCATATTTTGTTCGTCTTGCAAGCATTTGCTATGATTTAACCATTAGATACCATATTTCCTCATAACCCTAGCTGTTCCTTCTATTACTATTGCCAGTACCTCCTTCACAATCGCTAAACGTTCATTAATGTTGTTTCACCATTTTTTGAGTACAATGTTTGAAACTCAAAAATAAGAAAAGTGCTGTAATGACTATTATATGATTGCAAAAAAAAGTTTCGAAACCAGTACCGCACGATTGATAGTCAGTTGTTCTTTTAACTCGCTTTTGAGTTCCTACGTGCTGATACACAGTATTCGTAATCAACTATGGACCAGGCATTTGAATCCAGGTCCGTAACATCTTTCAAAAATACCGTTTTGCATTTGGGAAGAGGTTATGATACCAGTGTCTCGAAGGGACTCTAATACATCTCTGCTCTTCGCCAAAGCGACTCGGTATCCTTCCTTTGTGTGTGAGCACTTGCTAGTGTTGCCTCTTGCAAAACAGATATTTTCAGTCTTATGTAACACACTAGCACTTCTACATATCAGCACTCGATCGTGCAGTATCCGTATAAAGTGAAAAAAATCTGTCAAAGTATTTTTGCGCAGTCTGACACTTTCAAATTCTTGAACTTTTTTCACAACTCCGATCAACGTCGCAACCTGCGTAGTATACTTTAGATTGAACTAAATAATCATTCGATTATTCGGTTAATTCATTTAGATGCGAATGATTTTAAAACTCGATTGTGTGAAAATCTAAGATCTTAAACATTATCCGATCGTCGAAAATGTATAATATTTGATAGTCAAATATTTAAAATTCTCGCTTTTCTAATGTTACTCGATGGTCGAATATTCGGAAATCTTAATTTTTAAGCAGTATTCGATATTCGAATATTGGAAAAATTTGGATTGTCCTTATTATACTGTGCAGCCGTTTCCAGAGAAATAGATGCCATGAGAATCAAAAAAAACTTTTGAATGAAACAACTCTGAAAGAATTTATACAGCAAAAAAGGAAATGGCCAGAACTTAGTCCTGCCAACTAGAACAAACTGTTTATTTTACCACACAACCGTTTTGTAGCTAATTTATACTCATGATCATGTGATTCTGCGCGCTCAGTTGTCTCTTGACAAGACTTATTCATTAGAGCTTCAGTAAGTTCTCATATCATGCTCGTAAGCTCATAATTTCTTAAAGATAATCGCTTAACACATAACAACCATTTAATTGAGATTAGCTTTCACAAAGCAAGTGCGATGATATACAGCTTGTTTGTATGAAGACCAAGTTTTGACCATTCCCTTATGATTCATCCCAAGTGGTTTTCCATCACATCAAGTGGTGGAGTCGAATACGAATTGGTGTAAATAGCATATGAAAGCACCCTACTTTCGAATGTAGAATATGAACTACACGCTGACTGCAATGAGGGAGAATAAGCAAATTATTTGGACAGTACTTTTAACCGAGTAACTCCTCAAGAGCACCGTCCACCCAAATTGAAAGTGGGCTGATTTTGACGCTGTATAGCAGCGGGGACCCTAGAAAAATCTCACAAATCTTACTGCAAGAGAGGAATTTCGAAGCGAGAAAACTGCTTTAGAAGGTACTCTTCCGTCCATCAATGTGGGAGTTCTGAAGATAATGAGTTCCAAAGTGAGGTCTAGAATAGACAGCTATGTCAAAGATCTACGTCGGTAATAAACATCGAAACCAGGGCTCGGTACGGCTGGCGCCGGGTTAAGCTGCATATCGTTTATGAGACAAAAAGCAAAAGGGATACGTTTTCGTGACTAAAAGACACAAAAATTGCGACATTTATTTGAGTAGACGTTTCGTTTTCTTGGGGGGGGGGATGTTACGTTCAAGGTTTAGGATCAAAGGGGACTTCGCACGAAATGATCAAAAACAAAGGGGGATTTCGTTATGAAATTTTGCTGGTGTTTGTGCCGAGCCCTGGTCGAAGCCCAAATTTATAATCTAATTTGAGCTAACGCGCACCCTTGTGACCCCTCAACAAGTCTGAAAAAGACCAAATTTGGAAAGCGATGATATGGCAGGACGCTCCGTAACCGGTAGATTGTCCCTAGTAGGAAATCGTTATACAGAAATAACAGCTCTACCAAACGCACATTTGAGCTCTCCGATAACTTTAAGTTTGGTGCGCGTTCCAGTTCATAGTGGAACTCAGGTAAGTCTGAGTTTGGTCAGAGAAAAAGAAATAGTGCACAAAAGAAGGGGGTTAGCTAAAAAGTCCTCGGGTCACATTGCTCGTAAAGAGACATAGCTAAGAAGTCTTCTGGGTTACATTTTGCCCGCAGTTTCGGCAATCATGATCAATGACAGATGCTTAGTTTGGATGTCCTAAGAAACACGGTATGTCAGGGTAATTTATAAACGGTAGTTTCTACTAGCAAAAATATAGTATGCCGTTACACAGAGAAAGTATTCCAAAGCGCAACTAAGTTCCGCATTAACTTTGATTTAACCTGGTTTCAAACTCTCTTCAAGTTAACTTCGAGATTGTTTGGGGGCATCGTGTGCGCCGTTATTTACAAAACTATAACATTTTGTAAAGTCTTGACCCATTTGGTGCCCGAACATGAATATGGCATTCTTTTTTCACCACAGGGCATATAGCGGATTTACGGCAGATTTGCGATAGCAGGAAAAAATCTTGAACTTGACCGAAACTTGGATCGGCAAGATTATAAGGTGCGCTAAGTATTCTTTTTATACTGCGGTGATATCTTACGTACAGTGGTATCAGTTGGAGCTATTACGATAGGTACGGTAAGTGGGACAAATTTACGAAAATGTAAAATCTGGTCCCATAGGGGTTTTCTAGGCCTGAACGCAAGTTTGCAAAACCTTTCATGCGGTGGTGTCTAGCAGGCTACGGTGGGCGTATGGTAAGTAAGCCAGAATCATGGATCAAGGCCAAACTTTGCCCAGAGAGTTCATTCCGTGCGGTTTGAATGGTCCGTTCTTTTCAATGTGCCATCCGATCTCTCTCCCTGTTTGAAGCTTTCGATTGCGCAAAAAACCAATACGTGCGATAATCCATCATTGCTCGATGAAAATGACAATTAGTGAGGCTTTTGATACAACATGTTTTGACACGCTTTGTGTTAGTGCAGTAAATACGAGGTAAGGCAATTCTATATTCAAGGGTATGTCGTGGCCTAGTGGTTTGGTGATAAGATTATTACGCTTAGACTAAACAGGTTCGAGGCTTAGCGTCACTACTGCCGTGGCATTCACAACAGCTTCTCAAAGAGCAATTCGAAACTACGAGCTTGAGAGTTGAAATTCGGAACTTTCAAAACAAAACTCAGAGTTCCAATAAGCAAAATTCTGAGGTTCAAGGCGGAACTCGGAGTTATCTCTGAGTTAACGCGAAGGAAGTTTCAGACTCAAAGTTTTGACCAGATTACTGTCGGCCCGTACTCATAGCAACGGCAAGTGCTCCCACAACTATGTATACATTGAGAGTCAATTTCAAACTTGCTGTCTTCAAAGCACCCACATTAATGAGCGGAGCCACTTTAGGCCTCTTCCACTTTCTGTACTGTTTTTCGCCTGAAGGTGCATCCTTTGGCAGCGAGAATTGGACGTTTAGTCAAGTCGTTATACATTCTTAGTCGTTATACATCCAAACTCACCTCTTTAACGAAAAAGCGACAAAAAACCGTTTCGCGAGATCCATGCCTTTGCTTTCGCTTAAAGATTTCGACCATCGCTGCGCTTGTCTACACAGCCGAAACTTACAAGGGAGGGTCACGAAGTCAAAGTGGCCAAGCGCTACAAACTGCACACCTTTAATGAGAGCCTGGAACGCTAATCCCGAATATGCTTTTCATTTTTGCAGAGCCCCTCGGAAAAGAAGTTATGAGCGTTTTTCAGGCGTAAAAATAAACTACGGCTGGGTTAATACTTTTCTAATCAAAACGGACTTTCTAGGTTCCAGATGGAAGAGAGAATACTGATGTGCTAAGCAGCAGATTCACAGTATAAAATATCATGAAATTTGCCACTGCTTCACTACCAAAGAGGCTCTAGCAATTGATATCATTCCAGATACTGGTTCAATTTTCGACTCCAATTATGGATCATAACTTCACTTGCAAAAAAGCTCTGCAGATAGCATAGCTACGGCTCGGCACAGGTGGCTTGTAAGCCAGCTGGTATCGTTTTT